TCCCAGAAAACCATGTTCAGAACCTCCTCCATAATAAACACTCTTCAGGAAACAAAAGATTTTTACCAGGACCTTACTCAACCCAAGGAAAAGATATTTTTCCCTTTCCACACCCCCACCCCAAATACCTTTTCTGGCTCACCTAAAAAGGGAGGACTGAGAAATACTAATGAAGGTCACAGCTCAGAGACACAGGTGCAATAAAAGACTGAGGTTTAATTATAAGATTATGAAATGCTTCTCCTCTCTTCCACCTTTCCCCCTGTGCTGGCAAGGCTCCAGTATAATCACAGTGGATTACAGTTGAAAGGGCTCCATGAAGCAGATTGTCTCTGAGGAGGAGTACCTAGGTCAGCTGAAAGCAAAGAAGGTAGACAAAAATTAAGGGTACTAGAGAAATCTGAAGTCTCTGACAACTACAGCTACAGCAAAGAATAAACACAGCCCAACTTCTAGCCAGATTCGTTTGAAATCTAACACTAAAGGCCAATTTGTCTCAGTTCCTACTACCCAATAAATACAATACAGGCGACTTTCAGCAAAAAAGTTAAGAGACACAGCAAAAGGCAGTGAAAGCACAGCCTCCAAAGTAAAAGCAAGCATCTAAATCGACTCAAATATGACATGGACATTGGAATCATCAGGCAGAGAATTTAAAATAACTCTGATTAATACATTTAGAGCTCTAAAGGGAAAAGTACATATAATGACATGTAAAGACAGATGGACTATGGAAGCAGGGAGATATAAATTAAAGAATGTATGAAATAAGCTAGAAATAAAATCTACTGTAACATAAATGAGTAATTATTTTAATGGTCTCATTAGTAGACAAGACATGGTGAAGGGTGGAATCTGTAAACTTGAAGCTATGCCAGTAGAAACTTCCCAAACTGAAATGCAAAGGTAAAAAACAGAAAAACAACAACAACAAACAAAGAAATGCAGAGGAGGACATCTAAAACTACGGAACAATTCAAAACATGTAATATGCTCTTAACTGGAATATCAAAAGGGGAAGTAATAAGGTTCTGAAGTAGCAATGACTGAGAGTTTTCAAATTTTAATGATAAACACAAAACCACAGATTCAGGAAGCTCGGAGAAAACCGAGCGGGGTTTTAGAACAAAACAAAAAGATTATTATACCTCGGCATATCATATTCATACTTCAGATAAACAAAAATGATTGTGAACTCTTGAAAAAAATCCCAGGGGAAAAAATACCTTATGTATAGAGAAACTGGGGCAAGAATTATAATAGATTCTTTGTCAGAACCCATGCATGCAAGAAAAGCGTGGAGGGAAATATTTAAAGCATGTGCAGTGACACGACTACCTAATAATCGTTCCATTCATTATTTAAATCATTAAACCAGTCATTTGCTTTGCCTTTTTTTTTTTTTTTTTTTTTTTTTTTCTTTGACTATGTTCCCTGAAATGGTAGGGAGAATCAACTTAAACATTTCAGATTGACAATTCAGTCAGTGACTCATTGTATCATTTGATAAATGCATTTTTATCCTTTGAAGTAATTTTAGCATGCATAAGCACTCAGTCAATAACAAGGAATTTCTATTATGTGACAAGCCTTCTTCTATGTTCTGGATATATAATAATAACTCAATTTCGGAGAATGACAAAAAATTATAAACATTGATAAAGAAATATAATAAAATGAGACTATATACATCTGCTCAGATGTACTTTATATAGTAGGAACAAAAGGAAAAAGAGTATAAAACAGTATATAAAGGGGATACAGATTATATTATAAAAAGAGGGGAGATGGGTAATTTTTACAAGGTTGGAATATTTTGGCTTTAACAAAAATTCTATTTGAATCATATCTAGAAATATTAAAAGGAGAGTGCCCTGCAATCAACCATTTTAGACCTGGAGAACAAGAGCAAAGGCAGGAACTTGGGGAGGATGCAGAATAAAAGGAACGCAGTGCAGCTAGATGGTAGTGAGTGAAGAAAGAGCAATATCCGAGAGTTTTCCAATATGTTCAATACATTAGACCCTCTTGCCAACAACAAGGTTACCTCAAATAGGTATGACTGAAATGTATTTAGCAATCATTGGTTGTTTTCCAAAAGCAGAGTAAGTTCAACAAGAGAGACTTCTAATTAAAGATGAGTATTTGATTTTGCTTACTATGAATTATAATATATATAATTGCTAGGGTTGTCTCAACTACTTGCTGAGATAGTATGATCCAAGTGATCCATGTTACATAACAAGATTTATTCTGTCATAGGATTATCTTCTTTAAAAGCTTGCAATTATCATTTTTAGGATTTGTTAATCAGTTATTCATGAAATGTCTCACTGTAGTCACTTGAGCTTCTGACCTAAGATTTTGGCTAGTTGTCCTAGTCCATTTTCTACTGCTATAACAGAATTTCAAACTGGGCAAATTATAAACAATAGAAGTTTCATTGGTTCTCAGTTATGGAGTCTGGAAAGCCCAGATAGAGGGTTTTCATCTGATAAGGATCCCCTTGCTGTGAAAATATGGTGGAAGATATCACATGATGGGAGAGAACAAATGAGCCTGTGAGACAGAGAAAGGATATTCTGGGGATTTCATTCTTTTATCAGGATCCCACTCCTGGGACAACTAACCCACTCATGAAATAACAGTATTAATCAATTCATGAGAACTCTGTCACTTAATCACCACTTAATGGCTCCACTTGCCAAGATCATCATAATGGCAGTTAAATTTCGACATGAGTTATGGAGAAGACATTCAAATCATGGCACTTGTTATGGATTTTTGTTGTTGCTATCTGTGATGTACCACCAGCTATACAGGGACAAGCAACAATATTTTTCTCTAGATATGTCAATATATTCTATTACTCCCATTCATGCATTTATTTTATCAGTGGAATAAAAACACAAACAGCAGATTTTGAACTTTCCCATAAATCCTCTAAGTTATTACGTGATAGAAGAATTCTAAACCAATGGAAGAGAGAAGCATAGTCCACTTCAAATCAGACATGACATATGGAAGTGCCCTTCCTAGGCAAGTAAGAAAGCGTAGCTACCTTTTCCTTGCAATACGCAAAATCTCCCGAATTTGACACTGATGTTTACTAACTTTCAACACCACATTCCTCAGCCAATACCTTGTAAACATAAATTACCAAAACATATATTCAGATATCAGAGTAAGCCCGAATGCAAGCTTTAAAGGAAATACATAAAATAAAACACTCTGAATTCTATACTTTTCTGACATATATTACCACGACAGTACTTGAATGTTTGTGACCTTGTTCAAGGTCCAAGTGCTTTTTTTCTCTTTAATTATTTGGGCATTTCTGTTCCTTTTTAATGATCTTATTATTATTTTTCATAGAAAATTGCTCTTCATATTTTAATGTATTCTCTTGGTCAAATAAGCATATGTCATTAACGATATTATTCCGGTGACATGTTCCAATGGACATTTTTTTAACTAAGTATGCAGATGTTCAAAGTTTGTTTTGTGCATTGAAACAAAAGCAGGGTTATTCTCATACAAATCTAATTTGTGCTGAGAGATATCTGGCAATGAAACTAAAGATCTACTTTTAAAATACCGTATGTAGTTTTTTATACTCTGAGATGTCTAACAATTGTACTGAGAGATCGCATTAATTAGGAAAAATCCCAAGGATTACTGAAAGCATTCATGTCCTATGCATACTCCAGCACTTTTGTACTGTGGAAAGCAGTGACCTTTTTAAAGTAGGTGGATGCCCTTTATGTGACATCTAGTCCTCTGGGACAACTTGAGCAGGCAATTTACTGCACACAGGCACCTGTATCTTATGCCATACAGAAGTGCTGTTAGTGAGAGGCCATAGGATAAACTAAAAGGAAATCTTGAAAGTTCATATCCCAACAAGGGTGAACTGAGGAACAGCTATTTTGTATAGACAGTATAGTATTGAACATGTCATTCTGATAAAGGTTGTTCACTTGAATGCAAAGGAACAGGACTGTGAGTTAGATATTTGATCTACAGATCTTTCAACCATGTGCTGTAACTTTTCAGTATCAGCAAATGAATCCAAAGCTATTTCTATAGTAATCTAATATAATCAAAGAATAGATTATTGTCCCTCAAAAAATGTGTTTAATCAACTTTAGTAAATTCTTTAAAGCCTTATGCTAAGTTTATCTAAATATGAAGTTAATAATAAATACCACATTATTTACTTAATGCCTCATTCCAGAGCAGTCAATAAAGTGTCAAGTTTGAAAAATTATTCCTATGAACTAACGCAATATTGAATAGATTATGGTTTGCTTTCTTAATGATATCGATATTGACCAGCTCTATCACAACATGTGGACAAAATTATTTAGCAAAACATAATATATCCCTTTTATAATAAAAACATTCACATTAAAATGATTCTATAAATAGGTCCACGTGAAGATATTGGGCAACAAAAGTTCAATTATGGAAGCTCATGCTTTCTTATGCACAATAACCTGCCATCATTTTCGGTTCACCTGTTAAAGCAGCTGACTATGGATGTTGACTTGTGCTTCTTTAACTCACAGCTGTGCTGGATTGCAGGTGTTTGAGCTTTGTATTTCCTTTGCTATTACCTTATTTTTTCATCCAAAGTCAAAAGACAAAAGACATTACTATTCTCTGAAGATAATATCAAAATTTATGTTTTTAGTATTTACATGTCTTGGCAATTATTTAAAAATTAAAGGATGTAAGGTTTGCAACACAGTTCACATTCCAGTTAGTGAAATCAATAGTAGACTATGTTTTCTTCTAAGCTCAAATCAGAGCATTATTGCAAGTGTCAAAGTCATTTTATTTCCATGACCTAAAAAGTGTAGTGTACTTAATAAGGAATTTTTTTTATAGAACCTTCCAGGGAGCAATTTAGCCTTACCTAGGAACTTAAGGCCAATGACTTCAGAGGGAACCTGAGAGGATATACACACAAAAACACAATATTTTGCTGCCTTTTCCCTTTTTCTATTCCTTTTAATTCCATATAGAAGCGCAAACTACCTCTGGCTCCCAATATAAATAGACAATAATCAGATGTAACAATACTTTGGAAAAAAAAAGACCACACAAGGAAATTTTATGCTGCCCACACATAACATGTTGTCTGTTCCTGTTTGCTCTAGGGACAGTTGTATTGATGAGCCTTCATTCTCCACTAAAATAGAAGAGCACTTTCCATTTTCTATGAAATTCATATTGGTTATAAATATCTGGCATTGTCAACTTGGCGTGAGCTGCATCGCGGAGATGATGATGGCCTGCAAGAAATATCTGTAACACAAATTTATGAATTGATTACAGAACTTTCTCATCCACAGGGTAAAGCGACTGTTATATTTTAAAGCATACTTGATGTCTTGTTTTCTATAAAGAGAACTACACTTCATTACTCTATTTATTATTAGAGTGAAAGTGTGAGTATAACAAAATGCTTTCTATTTCCTTCCCAGTAGTGTGAGGAGAGGGTAAAAATGAAGAAGGAAAAGAAAGACAGGGAGAGGTAAATCATGAAAGAAAAACATTTTCCTCAGGGATAGAGTCTCAAACTATGTTTGCTGAAACACAGCTGAATACCATTATTTAAAATTATATCTCCAAACACATTATTCAGCCTCATTTAATCAACAAATATTTTTAAGTTGCTGTTATACACTTAGCATTATTCTAGATGCTAACCACAGTTCATTTTCATCGATACTCATTTTACGGAATCTTCCACATCTGTAAACAAGCAATTTAGAAATATTACCACGTTAATGCTTTGGCATATGAAAGCAACACACTGCTGAATCTTTAATCCAATGTGTCACTCTATAATCTAATCTATCTATCAGATGTCAAGGCAATTTGATATATGTGTGTCAGGGGGAGATCCGCGAAAGAAAATATTTGGTGAAAGTTGTATAAGAGCTTTCCCCAAAAAGTTTCAATGGGAAACTGTTTCTATCTTAAGATCTTTTGGAACGCAATGCTTTTGTTTTTATGTTATATAGGCATACTAATCAGAGACTTTGATAATTGTCAAATGCCTGTAGGATTTTCTCATCCAGTAGATTTCTAACCAGGCTTTGTAGCTGTATCCTCAAAGTAAATCAAGTTCTTGGGCCCAATTACAACTCTCTAAATATGAGCCTCTAAGTAATAGGCCAGAAATAGGCTTTATTTTTTTTCTGAAAACTCACCATATTTTTCAAAGCAACATTTAATTTGGCAATACAGAATCCATCAAAACTACTCTAAAACTGTTCATTTTCTTCTGTGTCTTTGAGAAAAATATCTCTTTGTAAAATGAAAGATACATTTACTGAGTGATATTAAAATCAACAATTAAGATTCACAACTAGGAAGCGAAATATCAATACAAATATACCAAAATAGAAAGCCTCACCAGTCATCTAATGACTACTTATTAGTTCAACAATTAAACACTATTTTTTATATCAAACTGTCAAAATAAATATGCTAACAACACTTAGTGGTATTGAGGAGGCAGTGAGCCAGATACTCATCACCGTAGTCCAGCTGTGGATTCGGACCCATATATCAAAAATCTTTTAAATAGATTGCAATTTTAATAAGCTAGATTTCTAAAAAAAATGAAATAATAAACTAAATCAGATTGAAACAGAAATAAGACCATGCTCCAAACAAATCTTAGTAAATTCTCTAATTCTCAGGAGGGTCTGTAAAAACATTTGCAGAATCTCTCAGGACTTTGGAATCCAATCCATCTCAGGCAGGGCTCCAGTTAATTTGAATTTTACATGGTAGTTCTTGTTTGTTTGTTTGCTTGTCTGCTTGCTTTTATTTTTGAGACAGAGTTCTGCTCTTTTCTTCTAGGCTGGAATGCAGTGGTGCAATCTCGGCTCACTGCAACCGCCGTCTTCCAGTTTCAAGCAATTCTCCTGCCTCAGCTTCCTGAGTAGCTGGGATTACAGGTGCCCACCACCATGCCCAGCTAATTTTTGTATTTTTAGTAGAGACAGCATTTCACCGTGTTGGCCAGGCTGGTCTCGAACTCCTGACCTCAGGTGATCCGACTGCCTTGGCCTCCCAAAATGCTGGGATTACAGGTGTCAGCCACTGTGCCTAGCCTAGCATGTTTTTTAAATGGGTGAATTTATATGGAGATAGGATCTGGATAGAATCTTAGAATAAGTTACAATATTTTATTTTGAAGAGTTTACTTTATAAAAAGTCTACCACATTGTACATGTATTTTTCTCTTTTTGTTAATAAAAGGAACTGTGAAAATTTCAAGAATGAGAAGTCATCTTTGTTTGGCAAGCCACTAACCTGTTCTTTGACATGTTGTATCCACCATCTACGGAGAAGAGGACTTACATTCTCCATCCCTTTTGCACCCTATGCTTAAGAAGAAATTTCATCTCTGCTAGTTATGATCCTGAACATTTCCTGGACATAATGAGAAGAGTGAGGGTTAATAGCTGAGACATTTAAAATTATAAGTAAAATTAAATGAGAAGGTTGGAGGGCACCTTCATTGGCATCCAAACAAACTATTAAGGGAACGATGTTGGGTAAAAGAATCTCAGCAAGACAGCAGTGAGTGAATATATGGAACTGCCAGAAAGCAGTGAGGGTATATAGGAAATTTGCTTTGAAGGTGACGAGCACATTTGAAAAAGCTTCTATAAGTCTGAAACTCACTTTGTTAACTTCATGTGTTTAGCAGTTGCTGCTCTGGAAATGATAGCTCCTGCTCTTTGGGGAGTTATTGTTACTTTCTTTTTTCCTGATTTGGTTTTCTCTGCTCTAGAAGAGTGAGCTGAAGAGGTGCCCTCTGCTTACTCAGCAGTTTTCATCCTGGTTCCTGGACAACTGCCAAGAGAACAGTAATGAGCCCACCAGCTGCCAGCCAGCCAGCCAACTGTGGGTTCAGCAACTGTCAACCCTATTGCAACCCTTCTATTGATTGTCATGTGTCCAGACACTGCCAAGAAACTCACTTTGTTCCTGTTACCTACTGTGGCCGTAGTTCAGAGCATCCACCAACACACACCAGATGCCAAGATTCCCGATTAACAGCTTCCATCCACTGACCCACTTTTCTTGTATCTACTAGATCTTGAACTATATGGCTGGCAGTGGCTTCCCTTTGACCTATGTCTTCTGCTGTTGCCAGCCACTGACTAGGTGGGTAGCAGGTACCAACCCCTAACCTTATTATCAACTAACTTCAGATCCCTGAGCTATGCATTTGGTGATTTCTAAAGCTTGTGCTCTCTCTGGAGGACCTGGCATTTACCTTCCAGTAAGTTTGGCCAGGCAGAATCAATATTAGGATTGAGATTTCTTGCTAAATATAGCTTGCCATATATCACTTCTTATAAATCTCTTCCAAATAAAACTCTTTCTTTTTGTATGAGTTGTTTCAAGATTCTCCTGGACAGCACCAGTCTCCCAGGTTTTGTCTGCGTGTCTTCCATAAAGTGAGAAAAGACTTGCTTTAACACCTAATAAGTGTGCTTCCTCAGATTCTAAAAATACGACTTTTGCTAATATTCATTTGTTAGTTCTAGTGATTTATGATACTTTTAATTAATGAGCGTGCTCTAGCTGCTTGATAAAGAATGACAAATTTCACCTGAGTGATTTGTTGACTTCTTCATTGATTCACTCAGCAAGTTTTCATTAACTTTCAAAGGTGTGCCAAATAGTATGTTGTAGTATTTCTCTGGATTCTTCTGGACATTTCTCTTCCTAAGGATTTTTTTGGGGGTTGGGGTGGGGGACAGAGTCTCAGACTGTTACCCAGGCTGGAGTAAAATTGCAGTGGCATGATCATAGCTCACTATAACTTCAAATTCCTGGGCTCAAGAGAGCCTCAGTCACTCTAGCAGCTAGAACCACAGGCATACACCATGATGTGCAACCAACTTTTAATAAATTTTAAGAGAAATGGTCTCACTATGTTGCCCAGGCTGATCTCAGACTCTTGGTTTCAAGTGATCCTCCCACTTCTACCTCCCGAGGTGCTGGAATAATAAGCATGAGCCACTGTGCCAGGCCTAAGGCTTTCTTATCATTTATCAATGACCGACTAAAACCACTCAAATCATTATTTTGAGGCTTTCGTGGGAGTAAATCTAGACGGGATTAAACCTCATTCAACAGTGGTTCACAGAATCCCAGTTAAGACCGTACTTAGGTTTTATGCTACCATTTTATGGCTCTCAACGATGGCAAGTAATTAAAATTGTGTAATATTGCTGCTGAATTTTCAAGTGACCACTGTGATTAAAAGCATAAAATTACTAAGAAAACATGGTGGGATATAGGTATGGAAGGGCCATTAGTGACTGTCAAATAAAATGTAGGTACAAATTCCTCATAATTGTTTAATATCTGTTGAAATTCCATCAACTCTTCTGCAACTAGAAAAATTGTGCTCATTATTTACACGATGTTGTCCTAAAATTAATGTATTGTACTAGTTACTAAAAAAGTATGGATTCTAGGAGTTAAAATACAAATGCAATGTATAGAGAAGTACACAATGTGTGCAGAGGGTTAAATTTTCCTCAGTGCTTTCTTTACGCTTATTGTAAATTAGTCACATGAGTTAGTATGTAGTGATGTCACAAACAGGCCTATTTAGATTTTCTGGTAAAGTATTAGTTTTCTATACCCTGTCAAAGTTAGAAAACTGTATGTTTTTTAAATAAATGGCCTCCAAAACTCAAAAAGACTTTGAAAACACCTACCAAAGGCATATGTAGAGCTGTTGTTCATTCATCAGAAATAGAGCCACTGAACTGTCACAAATGTTAAAGTCTTCTTCACTTGAATACTGCCTGGTGATATGTTGTGACCGTAATAACAAGGTTTCTTACCATGAAGCCCATTGTCTTCACTTCATTTCCTGAGAAATAAAGAAGAAGAAAAAAAGGTACAATCAATTTCCCAGTTCTTATCACCAGAGGGAGAGTAAAGTTATATATGAGGAAGTCACTTAGGAAACTATATTATCATCACCATTTTATAGGCTACCATAGTGCAATGTAGCTTTCAGAAACAGTATAGTAATATGTGCTTATGACTATAGTCAAAGGTAAAGACATTTTCCCTTTTAACAATGGCATGGTTTTTCTTAAGGGAAATACAAAGAAATGCCAGGTAAGATATCATAAAAGTTGACTTATAATCTCGTGTGATGTGGATAAACTGAGTAAAATTTTAAATTTATCTTCTCATCAGAAAAACAAATCTGCCTTCCTGCCTCAGATGCTTGTCACAGAAATTAAATGAGGTGAAATATGAGAAAGTGCACTATAAATAGCACCTGAACGGCACCAAAGTGGGAATTATAATTAAATGTTAGCTTACTTGACAAAAGTTAAGCCTCAGTAACCTGTGGCATAAGCTGATGAAGATGTAAAACAAACAAATCTCTTTGACTTTTCATTAGTAAAAAAATTAACCTATTGTTTGCATTATAAATAAATCCTTTATTTTAAGCTATTTTATATTTACAGAAAAGTCGTGAAGATAATACCAAGTTTCATCTACCCTATACATGGTTTCTCCTGTTATTGACAGTCTGCATTGGTATTCATCTTTGTCATGCTAATGACCCAATGTTGATTTTTTACTATGAACTAAAGTCAATACTTCATTCACACTTCTTCCGTTTTAAACTAGTATCTTTTTTATGGTCCAGGCTCCCACTCTAGATGGCACATTACATTTAATTGTCATGTCTCTTTAGGCTATTTTGGTCTGTGATAGTTTCTCAGATATTCCTTGTTTTTGATGCCCTTGAAAGTTTTAAGGAGTGTCAGGAATTTTACATATTGTTCCAAATTAAGATTTGGCTGCTATCTTTCTCAGGATTAGAACAGAGTTCTGGGTTTGCAGGAGAAAGACCAAAGAGGTACAATTCCATATCAGGAGCACATGCCATCAACAGGACTATCCACTGTTGGTGTTAACCTTGATCATTTTGCTGCAGAAGGGTCCATCCAGATTCCACTGCAAAGTTACTCACTTTTCCCCCTTTTCATACTGCATTTTTTGGAAGGAAGCTGCTGTGTGCAGTTCACATTTAAGTGGGAATCATTCTTTACCTCTTTACGGAGTATCTATGTTTATTAGTTGGAGTCATTTTGCATTCAAATATTCACCTATTCTCTTCTACTTTCTGTTTATACAATTATTTATTTATTAAGTATAAATGCATGAATACAATACATTGGGTTATAATCCAATGTTATGTCGGATTTTTTTGCTCAAAATTTTCCAGTTTTGACCATCAAGAGCTATATTAGTTGGCTCTTGTCTTTTTAACATATCTCATAGTTTTGCCTGTGTTTTGTTTCATTTTATTGTTGAACACTCCTTTCTAGAAAAAGATCTCCAATTTCATCTTGTGTATTTCCTGTAAGAAATATTTATATACATATAAATAAATATGTAATATATAGATATAACATAATATATTATATCTATAATATATTATATAACATAATAATATATAATATATTATAGATATTATAATATATATTACATATACAAATATATAATTATATAAAATAATATATATCATATATGTCATATATGATATAGTATATATCATATATAATATAATCATATTATATAAATATATAAAAATATAGTTATATATTATGATTATATTATATATCATGATATATATCATATATTTGTATATATTATATATTTATATGTATGTTTGCATGTATAATAATATATATAATATTTATAAATACATGTTATACACATTTATAAATATGTATATTTATATGTATAATATATATTTATATGTATTATGTAATAGATATTTATATATTATATATAAATACACACACATATATTATATACATATATGCATATATATGTGTATTTATATTCCATGTGAGCAGATAATGTTTTACACATCACAAACCCTTGCCGAGTCATTGAGCCTTTGCCCTTAGGAAGGTGTTGCTTAAAGACTCATCGAGATATTCTTGATAGCCAACTTATATTTCATAATGGTTTATCCATTTTGGTAACTAGTATGATATCATGTTTGATATATCATCGAATAAAAGTATTTATGAAAAAGAAAAACTATATCCAAGAAGACATTGATAACCGCACAATAAATATGAAGAATTATGCAATGACAATATGATCTTTGATTGCATTAGTAGAAAATTAAATATTTGTTGGCTGAGAAGTTACTTTCCTTCCAGATTCAGCCTTTGAGAGTCTCTTGGTAGAGTATTGCTACTTGTTTTCTAAAACAACAACAATAATAGCAATTAAAAAAAAGCAAAGAAACTGCTAGAGAACTTTTATATTATATACATATAAGAATAAAGTAGTGGGGCTTGTTGGCCTAACATGAAACGTGACCCATTTCTTTTGCTTGCAGGGTATCCTAAGAAACTGGTCTTCATACTCAAAATGACCAATGTGAAAATAATGAATTAAAATAAATTAGGATTGGTGATTGTTGACCATGAACAAGACCTTTACAGTAAGTAAAAACATCTCTATGACTCTACAAAATATGCAGTCTCTATTTAATTATTTTCAAAAACTATGATAAATTGATGTTCCTTACATATCGAATATTTATCTGTATGAAAACAGAGATTCAAATGAAATGATTTGGACTTGTTTCCAGACAAGATGGAGTTTCAGGGACAGGATTTATCATAATAAGTAACACTATAACTAGATAAATATCTAAAACATGAGTTTTCAGGACTTTGGATATTAGGCAAATAAAGCACAGTACTCCACGAAAGACATTGGTGAGAGATGAATAGAAGGTTTCAGGGATCTACAGAAGATACATCGAAGTCTTCAGTG